GGGGCTGGCGACGCTCGCCAACGTTTTTCGGGCGGCTGCGGCACAGCCCAAACTTTGTGCCTCCAACCCTATAAAAGTCTAGCCTTTGGTCTCTCTGGGTTCTGGTGGAAATCCGACTTTACGGGGTGCTCCACTCGGAGCCCAAACCTGGCCCCCTCCCTCCCCGTCATCCTCCGGTAAAACTGAGCGTTGCCCAGCCCCTGGGACCCCCTGAGCTGGTTCCCCATCTGACTGCAGAGCAAAGGGCTGGTGCGTGTTTTCGGCGTTAGAAGCGTTGAGAAATGTGCAGCTGGTTGGTCATAGGAGAGCAGTCACAGCACCAGCCACCTGGAGCTGCCTCTGCACAATAATTTCCTATTTTAGCACATGTAAAGAAGCAACAGGGCGCTTTTTTTTTTTTGCCCTCCATAGCATAAAGGAGCCTGATTTGTGACTTCGTATGATCCATTTTCAATGGCTAGCCACTGTTCAACATGCAGTCACAAAACCCCCATAGCAACAGAATTGCACATGCTGGGTCCATCTACATCCGTTGGCACAGGGATCAGTACAGGGTTACCAGATACCACATGAGATGACTTTCACAGGAGCTTTGAGCTCATTCAACAATGTAACAGAACTACTAAAATTTGTCCTTCAGACAGATAGCCACATCTCCCACCATTTACTGTTCAGTAATAAATTGACATTAAAGTCTATTTAATTAGAGGTCAGTGGGTTGTAAGATTTGGACTTGTTTGGAAGACGCATGAGCTAAGCCTCGTCACCGACTAGAAACTGAAGCATGGGAAGATCACGGCTGGCTTCCCTTCCTCAGACACGTTGCAGGATGAGGTAGCACGCTCTTCTTTATCTGAAAGTTGCACACATCTGGTCGACACCCTGCCTCCAGCAGAGCTCTTTACAGCTCTTTGCCCAAGTGCCCCAGATAATTCAATATGACCAAGCATGAGGACTGGGCTTTACACAGCAGGCAGGGCACTTGAGTGCTTGCAGTTTTGAATGTCCAGGTTGAGAGGCCTTGAATCTGGTTTCCAGGAAGCCTTGAGGCTTAGAACTCCAGATGATGTTCCAGGAGAGCCTTGCCACTGTGGGTATTTCCCACAGAAATATTCAGGTGAAACAGGACCCTTTATAATTAGTCTCATCTGCATAACAGAGGCCAGTCACTTGGTGGTTTCTCCACTGGGTTCAACAATGTAACAGAACTACTAAAATTTGTCCTTCAGACAGAGAGCCACATCTCCCACCATTTACTGTTCAGTAATAAATTAACATTTTGTTCAGGAGCAGAGACTACTGGTGAGAATGGGTTCTGTGAAAGTGGCATGCCTGTAGCAGAGGATTGAGAATGGAGAAAAAACAAATGCCTTCTGTCTGTGCCTGGCACCATGTCTTCTCTTTGCCCTCATGGCAGGCATGTGATGCTGAGAAGAAAGAAAGAAGCTGCTGCGCTGCACTGTGAATGCAAAAGGTCACACTGTCATGGGGAGTAGGAGGTGGAGGCTAGCAGTGATACTTGTAAGCCCCAGAAAATCATGCCCGATGCTGTTTCTCATTTCCCGTATTTTAATTTTAGTTTCCACTCACAGAATTCACTGTGGTATT